GCAGCAATATCTGCAGTCATTTTTGCAGGGTCTTTGGCTCAGTCCATCAGCATTTCCATGAGAATTTCCCTCTCTGTATTCAATATCATAATTATACTGGTCTATTTTCCCAACCCAACATGCCAGTTGTCCCTCTGGGTTCTTTAATGATCTTAACCAGCTTAACGCAGCATGGTCTGTCCTGATGGTAAACCTTCCACCATAGAGGTAAGGATGGAAATATGTCAGACTCTTTACTATAGCAAGGAGTTCCCTCCGTGTTACACAGTAGTTCTTCTCTGGCCTACTCAGGACCCTACTGAAGTAGGCCACCACATGTTTATTTTCGCCCACTTTCTGAGACAACACTCCTCCAATTCCGACATTAGTAGCATCAAAATCCAGTATGTATGTCAGTGAGGGATTAGGAAGCTTTAAAAGTGGAGCTGAGGCCAATTTTCTCTGCGATGTCTTGAAAGAATGCTGGCAGGAAACTGTCCATTCAAACTTCTGTACTCTTTTAGTCAAATCATGTAGTGGATCAGCTATAGTTGCAAAGCCCTTCACAAACTTCCAGTAATAGGTACAGAGTCCCAAGAAACTTCTTAACTCTCCCACATTGTCTGGTGTTGGCCAATCATGCACTGCTTTCACCTTGTCAGGATCAGTTTGTACACCATGCTCACTTACAATATGACCAATCAAATAAAGCACCTCTTTCTGGTACAAGTGGCATTTCTTAGGATGGCGTTTTAGGTTTGCTGTTTTCAAACGCTTGAATACTTCCTCTAGCCGGGACATTTCCTCATCAAACGTTGTTGCAAACACAATGACATCATCCAGGTACACTAGGGCTATCCTCCATTGCAGGCCTTCCAGTACTCTTTCCATCAGCCTCTCAAATGTTGCTGGAACATTGCTAAGCCCGAATGGCATCACACAGTATTGCCAGAGACCTTGACCATTAATAAATGCAATCTTAGGTTTATCTGCTTCAGCCATTTTCACTTAATGGAAACCCGACATTAAGTCTAGAGTTGAAAACCACCTGGCTCCACTTAGGGCATCAAGAGTATCATCAATTCTTGGCAGTGGGTATGTGTCCATTTCGGTTATACTGTTAAGAGACCTGAAGTCCACACAGCAACGTTGGATCCCATCCTTCTTCTGGA